ACAACAAACATTTTTAACACCAAGGCCCCTTATGGAGCACAGTTCTTCTTGGACCCACACAGAACCCTTGTATGTCGGAAATCACTGCAGAATATCTGGTTTTCTTCGCAGTTGATGTATGGAAACCAAGGGTGGATGGTCCTCTACAGTAAAAAAGGAAAAATGATCACTCTCTTTTAGACCCCCAAGCCAGTCTCCTCACAAGAGGCTTTTACATTTTTGTTCTCTTTGCTCTATAGGCAAAACGCCAAGCTCCCTGCCATGAAGTCAATGCCAACTCATAGTGACGCTATAGGCCAGAGTAGAACTGCCCCGTGGGGTTTCTGAGGCCATAGATCTTTATGGGTAGAGAAGCCTCCTTTTCCTCTGTCTCAAGTTGGTTTTAAAATATAGATATCATAATACTAAGCGCTGTAAAATTGACCAGGGTAAGCGAGTTAGTTCCAAGTCAGGAAAAAAAAAGGCAGCTAAATGTACTGATCTGAATTCAACAATCATTACCATCCAGGCTTAAAGAAGAAATTCATAACAGATCTCAACCCCCTAAAGGAGAAATCAACTAATGGCATCAAACCAGACCAACTCACTGCCATTGAGTCAATTCTGACCATATTGACACTATAGGACAGAGCGGACTGCCCCTGGGGGGTTCTGAGACTAGAGCGCTTTGTGGTAGTAAAGAGCCTCCTCGTCTTTTTCCTCTGGCGGTTTTGAACTGCCAACCTTGCATAACCACTCTGCCAGCAGGGCTGCTATTACTAGTGGCACAGACACCAGATAAAAGATGAGTTATTTGAAGGAACAGGAACTGGAAAGCAACTCAAGCTTGTTTCCAGCTTTGTGGGCTGGGCTGGGGAAGAAGGTGTTATTAAAGGGTGATGCAAACAGTGGAGCCATCCGGAGAACTGTGCTAATTAGAGACCTGTCTCCTCTTTCATTCATCAGGAGAATGAAATTGAATCAGAGTTAGTTTTCCTCAAGAAATGTGTCTCCATCTTCTTTTCCCTACCAACCAGCTCTGAAGACAGGTTAGTCCCTGTGTCCCTCCCGTGTCCCTGTGTGAAGCTGTCTCGAAAACTGCAGCAGGACATGGAGAGATGTTTATATTCCGGATGTGAAAATACACCCAATAACTAGACAGCGAGCAATTCGCAAAACAAACAAACAGAAATGTGATTACTTTTAGACAAGCAAGCCAGTCCCCTCATGAGCAGCTTTTTATTTTTGGTTCTTTTTGGTCTAAAACCCAAAAAACCAAACTTGCTGCTACTGAGTCAATTCTGACTCAGAGGGACGGAACTGGACAGAGTAGAACTGCCCCTTTGGGTTTCCGAGACTGTAGACTGTTACGGAAGTAGAAAGCCTCACCTTTTTTCCATGGCATGGCTAGTGGTTTCAAATGGCTGACCTTGTGGGTAGCAGCCCACTACGCCACCAGGGCTCCATTTGCTCTAAAGCAGTTACCAATTTTGTCCAAAGTGGTCATTACAATTTCAGATTTTCTTCAGGAAAGTTATGCCAGAAGGTAGCACACACTTATTAACACATGAATCCACAAGGAATTGGCTGATAATTAGTTAATGTAAAATTATTATCTATAAGGGATTAAGAAGCCCTGGTGGCAGAGTAGTTATGCTGTGGGCTGCTAACCACAAGGTCAGCAGTTTGAAACCACCAGCCATTGTGCTGGAGGAAAATGAGGCTTATGTACTCCCTTAAAGTATACGGTCTCTGAAACTCACAGGGGCAGTTCTACCCTGCCCTATAGGGCCGCTATGACTGGACATTGACTCGCTGACAAGTGTATTTATTTATTTATTTATTTATTTATTTTACATTTTAAGGGACTTGGGCTCTTAATCCTAAGGATAAGATACCTCCATTGATTTATGTACAAAGAAGAGCTCTTCTCTTAGACATACATAGACAAGACTGAGTAAAGTTCTCCAACAACAGACATGACAGTGGACAACCGGAAGGTCACCGAGTTGATAGGGAGTCTATAGGACAGGGTAGACCTGCCATTATGGGTTTGTGGGGCTGTCAATCTTTACAGGATCAGGCCTCATCTTTCTCCCATGGAGCAACTGGTGAGCTCGAACTGCTGATCCTGTGGTTAGTAGCCCAATGTGTATGCTACCAAGTCTCCCTCAAAAGACAGAAAATGGTGTCAAACTTTTAAAAGTCAAACTTTACCAGAGAATATCAAAGTCTGATATTAGTTGACTCCTCATTTTCCAATCTTTTTGCTTGTTTTTCTTTTTGTTAATGCCTATTCTCAAACATTCTGAGAAATCGAGAAAAGAAAGAAAAGAGTATAATTAAGCCTCAATATGGATCACCAACCTCCACAATGACCAACGTTCTGTCCATCTTTTTCCATCTACCTCCCTAACTTTTGTTTCCTGCACTATTGGAAAAGACATCCCCAACACATGGGTTCACATGTAAACACATGCAAATCAATCCTAATCCTAAAGAAGTTACTAATACAGACATAGGACTACAGTAGGTAGATGAAGGCATGCACTGGTCCCATTCATTCATTCAAGTCTGATAACAGGGCATTGTGCTAAGTGCTGAGTATACCAGAGAGAACGGGAGAAACAAGAGGGAAGGAAACAAATGTTTCAGTCTAATGTGGGTGGTAGGCGATTCATAGATTCTTAGTTGAAAATTTCTTTTCACATTAAAAAAAACCTTTTATTATAATATACTAAATTAGGGAGTATTATTTTATGTTTTTAAAATGAACAGAAATTGTATTAAAAGGTTGATTTTTTTTCACTCAGTGTTGGTTTTGAGATTTATTTACATTATACATATAGCTCTAATTCATTCATTTTCATGCCTATATAGAAACATAAAGGACTTCTGGTGGCATAATAGTTACACACTGGACTGCGATCCATGAGGTAAGCAGTTTGAAACCACCAGCTGTTCTGTGGAAGAAAGACAAGGCTTCCACTCCCATAAAGAGTTACAGTCTTGCTCTCTTCGCCACCTTCCCTGTTCCTCTGCTGCCGCAGCCATGAAGGTTAAACTGTGCATTTTCAGCGGGGACAAGATTCACCCTGGGCACAGGAGGCACGACACAAGGAAGGACCAAAGGAAAGGTTTTCCAATTTCTTAATGCAAAATGCCAATCAGCATTCCTTTCTAAGGGTAACCCTCAGCAGGTAAACCGGACTCTTCTCTACAGAAGGAAGCACAAAAAGAGGCAATCAGAAGAAATTCAAAGAAAAGAAGCCCCGGTGTGGTCACATTCCAGAGGGCCATCACGGTGCATCTCTTGCTGATAGAATGGCCCAGAGAAATCAGAAACCTGAAGTTAGAAAGGCCCAACAACAAGAACAGGCTATCAGGGCAGCCAAGGAAGGATAAGAGGCAAAGCAGGCTTCTAAAAAAACAGCAATGGCTGCTCCTGAGGCTCCCACAAAGGCAGCACCAACCAAAAGATTGTGAAGCCTGGGAATGTTTCCGTTCCCCGGGTACGTGGAAAATGCTAAGTTGGCAGATGAGGCTTTCAAATAAAGATGCAACTATTAAAATAAAATTAAGAGTTACAGTCTTGGAAACTCATAGAGACAATCGTACCCTACCCTATAGGATCAATCCGAATGACCCAATGGCAGAGAGTTTGTTTTTGTTTTAAATAGAAATATAGCAATTTACCTATCCATTCTACGGAGAGTTTAGGTGTTTTTTGTTTTTACAAACAAGGGTGCAATGAACTTCCTTGTGTGCGCCTAATATAATAGCAGAAGGGAAGGCCTCTGTGAGGAATTCCTAGTTTAAGTTGATACCAGATAAGAATTCCTAGCTTAAGCTGATACCAGATAAGAAAGCGGCCCTGCTGGTTTAGAGGATTACGTGTCAGCGTCAGCAGTGCAAACCCTGGAGCATGCTTCCCAGGAGAAAGAGGCGGCTCTCTGCTCCTATGAGATGCGTGGCCTTGGAAACCCACAGGGGCAGTTTGACTCTGCCTTATAGGGTGGGAGAAGGACATCATGCCTGGTAGAGTGGAGGGTCAGCAAAAAAGGAAGCCCACCAAGGAGATGGAGTGACAGCGAGGCTGTGAGGATGGCGCAGGAGCCGAGAGAGAGAGTGATTTGTGCTGTGGTGCATGCGGTCGTTATGAGTCGCAGTGGACTTGATGGCACCTCATAACACGATAGGGTTGCTACGAGTTGGAATCGACTCAATGGCAATGAGGTTGTTTTTTTGGGGGGGGCGGGGAACATTTGTTTAGAAAATGAGAAATCAGCTGCAAGTCAGGTGAATGGTCAGGGACCCCATGTTTTCAGGTAGCTGGGACAGGGCGTACCTCTGAAGGTGGAGGGTCTGGCATGTACTGAACCCGGGAGGTTACAGAGGAAAGAGAAGGGAAGAGTAGCAGGTGGTGGGTAGAGAAGCAGACAAGGATCACTCTGGGAAAGGAGGCCACAGTAAGAATTTTGGGATGTTTTTTTTCTACACGCAAAGCCTTGCAACATGCTTTCCTTTTTCCCTTGGTTCGAACAGAGCATATCCACAGTATTAAGAGTTCTTTCCTTCAAGTGCAGTGTGACATCAAAACCCAAACTCAAACCCAGCTCACCACCGTCCAGTTGATTCCGACTCATTGTGACCCTATAGGACAGAACAGAATTGCCCCTGGGGGTTTCCAAGACTATAATTCTTTACAGGAATAAAAAGCTTCATCTTTCTCCAGCAGTGCAGCTGGAGGTTTCAAACTGCTGGCCTCGTACTTAGCAGCCCAACGCATAACCACAAGGCCACTGGAGGAGCCGTTCAATGGATGTAGTTACTACTCGCCTCCCCCCCCCCCCCCCCCCCCCTCCACATTTTTGTTTTAAAAATCTTTTCATTTCTGGTAGATGACACATCGTCTAGTTCATTCCACATTGTACATTCACTGTGTACGTGGTATGGGCATGGCAGTTAGGATGAGTCACAGTTAAGAACAAGGGAAGACAGAAGTTATTTTTTAAGTTAGCATGCAGCTCAGTGTGGTCGCTCTGAGTTTCCACAATGGCATACTATATGGGCAGGGCCAGAAAGTGCAGAAGGTGATGGTGCAGCCCATCAACCTCATCTTCAGATACTTGCAAAATAGATCCCGGATTCAGGTGTGGCTCTATGAGCCAGGGAATATGTGGAGAGAGGGCTGTATCATAGGCTTTGATGAGTATATGAACCTTGCATTAGATGATGCTGAAGAGATTCATTCTAAAACAAAGTCAAGAAAACAACTGGGACAGATCATGCTAAAAGGAGATAACGTTACTCTCCTACAAAGTGTGTTCAACTAGAAACGATGACTGAAGTGAGAAGCTGAGGACAAGAGCTCCCCCCCCCCTCAGATAGTTATAAAACATGTGCTCATACTGTTTTCATTACCCTTATGTTCTTACTGAACCACAATAAATGGCCTCTATGGGGTTATTTTCATTTTTAAAAAAAAGAAAGAACAAGGGAAGGATGAAGTCTCCCTATGACAGACAGGCCAAGGGAGTGTGGAGGGTGGGCAAGCACAGAGGGCAAGCGGAGCCCCAGGGCCCAGGCAGTGAGAGTCTGGGCCAGGGTGTTGCGGTTTCTTGAAGAGGGAAAATGAACATAGAACAAAACTGACACACACACACAAACAATACAAGATTGCAGCACAAAATAGACATACAAGACTGCAGCACACACACACACACACAGACGGAATAAAACAGACACACACAGAGAGACGGTACAAGACTGCAGCCTCGAAGGACCACAGTGTTTTATTTTTAAAGCATCAATACTGGCAGTGTTCCTAGATATGCTCCCTGTTCCCACGCCTGAATTTCACTTAGCCTTGACAGAGTTCCTATCTCAGCACGTACTGCTCCTGTTTATTGCTCCCAGGAAACACTGTATGCAGCTGTTCCCCAAATTCCTTACTGTCTGCTGTTGAAGGGCATCCTGAGCTCAAGTGCAAGCTGCCAGGGAGAAAAGGAAGCAGTTTACAAGAACAAGCTAGGACAGCCGTTTGCGAACTGTCCTAAACAGATACACGACAGGAGACACGGTCCTCCTTTCATGGCTCCTTTACAGGGTCTGTACTGAGAGGCCTGAGCCCTAGGGTTCCTGATTCTGCCTGGCCTGGCTCCACAAGTGGTTCAGAGGGGCCAGTGAACCTGCTCCGGGAGCACCCCAGCATCCCAGCACAGAGGTGGGGGCGGGGCGGTGAGGCAGCACTGAGTCAAAGAGGTCTCACAGCATTGCCGTGCATGGGAGCTGTACTCTCACAGAGGTAGAGGCGAGGAGGGCCTCTCAGGTCTAGCTTCTCTCTCCTTGATTCAGAGGGACAGCTATCCCGAGTACCCCACTCCAAGGCAGCCAGACCACAGGTTCATTTGCTCCATCTACACCTAAGGCAGAGGTTAACATTGGACTATTCAAGTCTTGCTCTTTATTGTAGAGGAATTGATTACCATCTTTCTTTTTTATTGATTCACATATCATATAATTCAATGGTTTAAACATAAAAGTTTTGAAATCACCACAATAAAATTTGGGAACGATGAGGGTAATGAATGTACAAATGTGCTTTATACAATTGATGTATGTATGGGTTGTGATAAGAGTTGTATGAGCCCCTAATAAAATGATTTATAAAAAAAGAAATCAAAAACAAAAAAAAATTCTGGAACATTTTTTTCAAAGTTCCCCACAACCGTACCAATAAACATCAGGATACACAGAGAAAAGACTGAGGTGGACTCTTTCACCTGTTAAAAATCAATAATGTCACTTTGAGTATGACGGTGACCCTGACTCAACCCATGGTCATTTGAATGGAAAGCTGAGCAATGAATAAGGAGACAGCAGAGATGTTGATCCATTTGAACGAAGGTGCTGGCAAAGAGTATTGAAAGTCTCATAGACTGCCGGAAGAACAAACAAGTCTGTCCAAAATGCTTTGTAGGCGCAAAGATAGTGAGATTGTCTTATGAACTCTGGACCCGGTTTTCAGGAGGGACTAGTCTCTGGAGAAGGGCACATGTTTGGTAGAGGATCCGCAAAACCGGAAGAGCCCATCAAGGGGATGGATTGACACCAGACAGTGGCTGCAGCACAACCACCACTGCAAGGATGGCTCAGGACCTATATTGTATATAAGACTGCTGGAAGATGGCTTTGACTGGAGGGCAATCTCAGTAAAAAAGAAAAACGTTACCATTCTCTTGACTCTGTGTCTGAGTAACTGTAGCTTCGAAAATGACCCCAGGTGATTCCGATGATCACCCAAATTTGGGACCCTTGGTTTGAAAGTCGTTAGAAAACATGGACGAATGTGGGGACAGCAGACCTGGATTAATTGAAGGCTCTTGGAGAGTAAGACAGCAGCTGGTGCAAAAGCACAGGCAGGAAATGAGTGAAAGGCAGAAGGCTTAAGGGTTATTTCTGTGGTACACGATGAAGCCCGGAGTCCTGCTGGCATAATGCTTAAAGACTTGGCTTCCGGAAAGATTAGAGCCTGGAAACCTCTATGGTGCAGTTTTACTGTCCAATTTAAGAGCTGGAATAGACTGGGGGGTTCAGTTGTGTGTGTGTTTTTGCTTTGTATTTTTTCTGTGGTTGAATTGACAGGATCTGGCGGTCAGTACTGTGGTCAGTACATATATCTATTGAAAGTGATTATATATGTCATGAAAAGTATAGTTTAACTATTAATTTATTTTGCCCTACTTCTACCTCAAATTATATTATTTTTCCCCCTTTTCCCCCACGGTTAGATAAATCAAGGATGGACGCAAAGCTTGCCATACCACTCAGCGCGCTGCCAGCACCACAAATATCTACGGAGGGCCTCCAAGGCCGAGTTAAACAGGGCTCTTAAGGGCGCAGTCGCGCTGGGCAAACTGCCGCCTTAAAAAGCTTACAGAGAGGCGAGAGTCCCGGCTTGCAAAGCACTGACGTTTCGGTGACGACACCGACTCCGCCCTTCCACCAGCTTCCGGTGACGCGTAGCCCCCGCTTCCGTCCTTCCCGCCCAAGGGACAGGCCCCGCCCCGCTCCCACGCGCTTCAGCACCAGAGTGGGGGGGGCGGGGCGGGAAAGGGTACAGGTTGCTGTCGGACGCCTCATTGCAGGTTCTTCCGCTCTGCCGAACGACTTCCGCTGGGAGCAGTCATCAGGGCCGCTGGGGCGGCTCGGCGGAGGGGTTTCGGCTCGCTCTCGGCGGCGCCGCTCCTTGTCCGCCGCTGTAACCCTGCCCGCCTCCCGCCTCTCGCGGTCCAATCCCTGGGGCCGGCGCGCGACTCGCTTCATGGGGGCGGGCCTCCGCCGCCCGCTCCCGGCTTCCTGTCCAGAGGCAGCCCGGCGGTAGGCGGCGACGACTCCGCCCGCGCCCCCTTTGGCGCGGTGACCGAACGCTTGGCGGCCGCGCCTGGGGCCGTAGCGCCAGTCCCGACCCTGCGCCGCCATGGCTCCTGTGCAGCTGGAGAACCACCAGCTGGTGCCACCCGGAGGCGGGGGGAGCGGCGGCCCCGCGTCAGCCCCGGCACCCCCTCCCCCGGGAGCTGCCGTGGCGGCGGCCGCGGCGGCGGCGGCCAGCCCCGGCTACCGGCTCAGCAGCCTCATCGAATTCTTGCTCCACAGGGCCTACTCGGAGCTCATGGTGCTGACGGATCTGTAAGTGCCGCGAAGCGCCCGCTCGCTCCCCAGCCCCCTCCCTTCCCGCCCAATTGCTGAGCCGCCTGCGTCTCCCGCACCCCGAGAGGCTGCAGTTCCCCCCGCCGGCGACTCAGGCTAGAATCTCCCAACTGCTGGGGCTCGGCGGCGCTTTGCATTTGGGGGCGTCTTTCCTGGTGCTGCAGCGGCCGAGACTTGTTAATTATGCGTGGTAGACTTTCACTGAAGATGGTGAGATTTTTGTTGTTGTTCGAGTTGCTCTCCTGGAAGCCTTTTGGCCCCACACCCGATTACAGGTCAGGGCTTAGAAATACGTACTCTGGAGCTTTAACAAGAATCCCAAAGCCTTTTTTGACAATTCATTTGAAAGAGAGATGCGAATGGTCTGTGACTTCAGTTTGAACGCCAGAGGTGTGCTGTGTGTAAAATAATCCAAAATGTTGGTGCCAAATGGTTCTTCTGGAACGTTGAGTATTTGAAGTTTTCATGCATTTGGTGTAGGTTATAGGTTTTTCTCCCTCCCTCCTTTTTGTGTGTGTGTGTGTGTGTGTGTGTAACTGACCTGCTAGCTATTATTTCTTGAGTTTATGAATCACTGTTACCCTCGCAATGCTTTGGGCATGATTAGAATATTATTAGTACCTTCAGAATAGGATCAGGACGCCCTGTTATGGTATTTAAGTATGTAAAGAAAAGGCCGCCTCAAATTTGGGGTCATTTAATTTGACAGTTAACAAATTTGAGAAAAAAGTGGTACCAGATTGTTACCTGCATTTTTATCTTTTATCTTCTGCTAAACTTCTGGTTAACAGTTTTAATTGAGAAAAAGATTAAAATGCAGATATGTACTAATGCATCTACTGCTAATATACCAACTGCTAGACTTCTAGTTAACAGGTTTCAATAGAAATACGTTAGTATATTGATAGCAAGCTGTAAAATGTTACAAGTAATTTGTTATTACAAACAAGTATTTGCAGATGATTAAAGGATTAGAGTAGATTCCATTTATTTCTATAGAGTATCATTCTTTCTCATTTTGATGGACAGTACTTTATTGAACAAGGAGCCCTGGTGGAATGGTGGGTTGTACATTGGGCTGCTAACAGAAAGGTTAGCATTTCGAAGCCACCAGCAGCCGGTAAAGAGTTACAGTATCAAGAAAGAGGTACAGTATTAAAAAAAAGTTACATTGTCAGAAACCCACAAGGGCAGTTCTACCCTGCCCTAAATAGGGTTGCTATGAGTTTGAATTGACTCGGTGGCAGTGAGATTTTGTGTTTGTTTTTTTCTGGGGTACTGTACTGACAGACAGAGGGAAAGTTAAAGAAGCCTATTTGTCTAAGGAATCCCTAAGTTGTGCCAGCCTGAAAATTGGTGGTTCGAACCCACTCAAAGGCATCTCAGAAGACAAGTTTGGCATTTTGCTTCTGAAAGGTGACAGCCTTGGAAACCCTGTGGAGCACTTCTTCTCTGCACACATCAGGTCTTGACAACTAACAGCAGGCGCCTCTCCAAAGAGAAATAGCTACCGTGATTAGTGCCAGTCGTGGAGTAATGCAGTCCTGTAGCAGTTACAATGTTCAGTAACACAGTCACGGGGCAATGATAAATGGTTTTTGGTACCATTTGTTGTGGAATTTCATAGAAATACCAGCTTGTCCATGAGAAAGTGTCATGTATGTGAAGCTCATGTATAGTTGTGGGGAAAATACTGACAACTGCTGTTAGTGCTTGTGTAATTTTTTTTTTTCTCTAGAAAACTTTTTTGAATTGTATTGTGTTCCTGATTATTGCTATTTTACCCTTTCAGGACTTGATTTATGAAGAGAGAAACAGGTTTTATAATTGCCTTAGAATGAAAGTGTAGTTATAGTCCCACACCTTTTATATGATGGTTCCCATATTTATAGCTCCAGCATAGACATCCTAGACTGTCCCCACCCCAACCCCCCAAAAAAGTCCAAGCTCACTGCCACAAGTCAATCTTGACTCATAGCAACCCTTTGGACAGAGTAGAACTACTCCTGTGGGTTTCCAAAGCTATAAATCTATGGAAACAGAAAGCCTCATCTTTCTTCTGCAGAGAGGCTGGTGGGTTTGAACCACTCACCTTGTGGTTCCCAGCCCAACAGGTAACCCACTACACCATCAGAGCTCCTGACTCTACATTCAGATGCTTACATTTCAATATCTAAGGGACATTTCAGTGTACCAGAGTCAGAGCCATACTCTTGATTCCCCTCAACCCCTCGAAGCCTTTCTGATCTTCCTCTTGCACTAAATAATATCTCTAGTCTATCTCTTTCTTGATGTTCGGGCAAGGAAATTTCAGCATAATTCTTGGCTCCCTTTTCTGGGGGGCATCCCACATCCAGTCCATGAGGATGTAAGTCCTGTCAGCTCTGATTTCAGAATCTATCAATGATCCCGTCACTGCCACCATTACCAGTCTCATCCAACCCACCATATAACCTCTTCACACCACTGTTGCTGCAATCGTGTCTCAACTGGCATGCCAGCTGCCATTCCTGCCCCACTGCAGTTTCTTTTCTGTGAAATAGGGTGACCCTTTTAAAACATGCTGTTCCGAACCCACCAGTGGTTGCTTGCTACACTTTGATTAAAACCTTTTTGTAAAACTTGGTTTCTGCAGATTTCCTGATTCTTAAGTGAGTGCATGTAATGTTTGTTCTTTAGCAACTGACTTATTTGGCTCAACCGGATTTCAGAGTTCGTCCAGGTGACGAACTCAGTTCTCTTTGTGGCCGGGTAATATTGAATTGTACATAGAGAACCACATAGTGTGTTTTATTAGCCTGTTGGTGGACATTTTGGTTGTTTCCACCTTTTTGACGTTCATGAAAAATGCCTTCCCTACTTCTGAATATATATATTTATATATCTAGGCTTGGGATTGCTGGCTCGAATGACAATTCTGTGCTCAACTTTTTATGGTGCCACCAGCTGTTTCCCATCATGTCTGTACCATTTGACATCTCCCGCCCCACCCACCCCTTCTTTTTTTTCTTCTCTCCTTTCCTAACCTCTTTTAGAATCGGATGCCAGGATCTCAGTCATATAAACTTAACAGCACTTCAGTGTAAATAAGTTTCAGTGCCGGACGTCCTGCCTTGTAAACCTTTGTATTTTAGAGCTTTGCCCACAAGAGGTGGAATTTACGTCTTTTCCCTATCTCGCCCCCCCCCCCCCAAGGCCTTTCAAATAGATAAGGAGGATGTAGGAGAAAGAAGTAAGAGCTCTGCTGGCATAGTTGTTATGTGTTGAGCTGCTAATTGAAAGGACAGCAGTTCGAAAACACCAGCCACTCCATGGGAGAAAGATGGGGCTCTCTACTCCTGTAAAGAGTTACAGTCTCGGAAACCCACAGGAGACGGTTCTACTCTGCCCTGCAGGGTCACTGTGAGTCTGCATCGACTTGATGGTAGTAAGTTTGAGTTTTTTGGGGGGACAGGAGGCAGGCCGCAAAAACCTTTGTCCCTGAAATGACACTGCACTACCTCTGACCTAAGATGATCCTTCTTTTAGAGTTCTTAGGGCAAGTGGGGAGAGGGCCTCGGGGCCCTGTGGTTAAGTTCTCAGCAGCTATCAGATAAGCTGCCTGTCTGAACCCACTGGCTGTTCCACAGAAGATTGTGCCAGTCTTGTTTCCGTAAATATGACAGCCTTGGAAACCCCAAAGGGCTGTTCTACTCTGCCCTGGATGGTCACTGAGTTGAAATGACCCCTAAGGCAGTGGGCTCTTTGGTTTTATGGGCAAGTGGGAAGAGTTGGAGCACTGATTGCAGTCCTCAGAAGCTCTGCTCTTCTGTTTGTTCGCATGTGCACGCACCTCCTTAGTCATCCTCCCTCCCTGGAGGACCAGGACTGTGGCTTTGGGGCACTTTCCCAGGGGCTTTTGCAAGCAAAAGAACTTGCCAGTGGCTGCTTTTATCTGCAGCCTTAAAATGTGGACAAGAGTTCTGCTCCACTCCCCTGATCTGCTGGTTCTTCCAGATCCTGTCTCCTTTCCTGGATTGCTCCAGGCAGTGCCTCCACTTCTCCCACCCCACAAGCCAAAGCCCATTTTTCTATGTACCCTTCCCAGTACCACATCTGCAAGTGGTTTTCGTTTGTTCAATTTCTGCAGTTTGGGGGTGGGAAGAAGTGATCTACACAGCTTTGTGGGCATTCAAAAAGGGGGTTGACTCAGGGGAGGTATAAGGGGAGGTATAAGAATAGTTCAAATCACTAGACCTTGGGCCACAGGACATAACTTTAAAGATTAGGAGCATCTCCCAAAACCAAACCCATTGCTGTCAAATCAAAGTCCACTCTGACTCAGAGAGACCCTTATACTGGCTTCCTGAGGTTTTAGACATTTTTTTTTTTTTGTGACACATTTACCATTACCAGTGTTCTTTATTTCCTTGTAAAAACTCAGTTTTCATCTGAAAAATTTCATTCAGCAAGATACATTTTCTTTAAAATATCTCCTAGTGAAGATCTGTGTGTATTGTCAGAAATTGTATTTTTTATGTTCACTTATAAGGCTTATGTTCACTCATGTAAAGTTTTGTGTTTTCCCATTTTGTTTTTTCAACATTGTAACACTGTTATTCCCTTAACTTTTGTTCTCCTGTCTTTATTAGATTTAAGTTCTATTTTATAAATTATTTTTCTGAATGTAATCGGTTTTTTACAGTGGGACATGTTTT